TTATCCCACATGCAATAAGTTCAAGCAGTGCTTGAACTTTGCAAGTGTTACAACCTTGGTTCCAATGTCTGCCAGGTTGTTTTCAGTTGGGATTTCCATCAGTTTCACCTCTCGTTTTGAGATCATATCCCTCACAAAGTGGTATCGTACATCTACGTGTTTGGTCCTCTCATGGTACACGGGATTCTTCCCCAAATGAATAGCATTCTGACTGTCTGAATAGACAGTCACAGCTCCATCTAGCAGCTTGGCTTCTTTCAAGAACCCGTGAAGCCATATAGCTTCTTTGAATGCGTTGGTTACAGCCACATATTCTGTTTCAGTTGTGGACAGAGCTACCAGTGGCTATAACTAGGACTTCCAACTGATATAGTTGCCTCCCAACGTAAAATGGTATGCTGTTGTAGACTTCCGAGAGTCTATCACCTGTAAAATCCGAGTCTACATACCCATCCAGATCAAGTTAGGAGTTTCTTTTACAGAAATTTAAACCCACATGCACAATGTTCTTAATGTATCTAAGAAGCCATTTCAAAGCATTCCAATGTTCCCATCCAGGATTTGACATAAACCTACTTAACAATGATATAGAGTATGATGAGTCAGGTCTTGTACTAATCATGGAATACATGACAGAACCAATAGCATTTGCATAAGGTATGGATTCCATTTTTAATCTTTCAGATTCTGTTTTTGGACTCTGGGCTTTACTAAGGATGAATTGGCTAGCTAGGGGCATTGAGGCACATTTAGAGTCATTCATACCAAATCTAACTACTAGTTTCTGGAGATAGGACATCTGGTGGAGTTTTAAACTGCAAGTTTTTCTGTTTCTTTCTATTAGCATGCCTAATATTTTCTTTGCACAGCCTAAATCCTTCATTTCAAATTCATCATGTAATTTTCCCTTCAACACATCAATATGAGCTTTGGACTTACTGATTAAAAGCATGTCATCAATGTATAGTAACAGATATATAGGATTTGTGTCCACATGTGCAAAATAAAAACAGTTATCATGCTCACTTCTAGTAAAGCCTATCCCTACTATGAATGAGTCAAACCTCTTGTACCACTGCCTAGGTGATTGTTTGAGTCCATACAATGATTTATGCAGCAAACATACATGATTAGGAAACTGTTTATCCTTAAACCCTATAGGCTAACTCATATATATCTGTTCATCTAATTCCCCATGCAAAAATACAGTTTTTACATCTAACTACTCTAACTCTAAATCATGATGTGCTATTAAGGATAATATCAATCTTATAGTTTTAAATTTAACAACAGGAGAAAAGATCTCAGTGAAGTCTATACCTGCCCGCTGGGTGTAGCCTTTGGCCACTAACCTGGCCTTATACCTTGGTGGATCAGTTTTGTTGATGCCCTCCTTCAGCTTGTATAACCACTTGCATTCCATTGGTTTTGAGTCTTTGGGTTTTGGAACCAGAGTCCAAGTCTTGTTCTGCCTTAGGGAGTCCATTTCCTCATTCATGGCAGTGAGCCATTTCTTACTATCCTTTGATTGTATGGCATCTTCATAAGACTCAGACTCTGTCCTCTGTATCTCTACTCCAGCAAGTAGTGCTGTGTAGATAAGTTCTGCATAGCTGAACCTTGGAGGTGGTTTCATTTCCCTCCTTGTTCTGTCTCTAGCAAGTTGGTAATGAGCCAGGTCCTCTTGTTAGGCATTATCATTGTTCTCTTCATTCTCATTTTCACCATCAGTATCAGTATCAGTATCAATGGTATTTTGCACAGGTTCAGCTTCTGGTCCATCAGTGTTGTTTTCAGGTTTTTGTTGGTTGGTTGACTCCACCTCAAACTAAGTATTTTCAGTTTGCTATGGATTCTCCACTTGATGGCTTGAGGTACCTACATTAATGTTAGTAACCCTGCAAGGAAACACACATTCGTTAAATACCACATCTCTACTGGTAATGACCTTAATTCCTGGAGCCTCTCTCTCCCACAGCCTATATCCCTTTGTCCCTTCTTGATATCCTAAGAACACACATCTTAGGGACCTTGGTTCTAATTTCCCATCTTTGGTATGTGCATAGGCAGCACATCCGAAAACTCTTAAATGGTTTATGGATGGTTTTCTTCTTGACCATCTTTCTTCAGGAAAAATGTAACCAGTTGCACTAGATGGAGTCATATTTACTAAATAGGTAGCAGTGGTTAAAGCCTTCCCCCAAAAGGACTTAGGTAGTCTAGCTGTGAAAAGGAGGCACCTCACCTTCTCTAACAATGTCCTATTCATCCTCTCAGTAACTCCATTTTGCTGGGAAGTCCCCCTAACAATCCTATGTCTCTCAATTCCCTGGTCTCTACAGTAAGTGCCAAACTCAGTGTTACAAAACTCCAATCCATTGTTAGTTCTGAGTGTTTTCACTTTCTTCCCCAGTTGGTTTTCTACTAAGGTCTTCCAGCCTTTAAACTTAATTAGAGCCTCATCCATGGATCTAAGTAGGTAAACCCACACCTTTCTACTGAAGTCATCCACTATAGCTAGAAAATAACTATTCCCCCCATGTGTTTTGACTCTCTCAGGACCCCAGAGGTCAGCATGAAGGTAATCCAAACAACCCTCAGACAGGTGAGTTCCTTTTTGGAAGCTCAGCCTGTGCTGTTTACCCATGACACAAGTTTCACAAAAATCTAGGTCTGACACATTGTCTTTACCAAAGTACCCTTGCTGTTTGAGATAGCTCATAGCAGTTTGGCCTATATGGCCCATCCTCAGGTGCCATTTTTCTGTAGTTGAAATGTTAGTAGATATAAAAGTAGAGTTAACATTCATTTGATGATATTGCCCACACAAAATGTACAACCCATTCCTTTTAACACCTTCAAACAGCATTTGATCATTTTTGTAGACAATAATGCACCCATTTTTAGCCCTATAGCTACAGCTAGCTTTATCAATTGTGCCTAAAGAGATCAGGTTACGTTTAAGCTCTAGTATATACCTTACTCCGGTTAACATAATAAGTTTGCCACCTTTAAGTCTAATGGTGATATTACCCACACCTTGGACCCTACATGAGTGATTATTGCCCATAAACACTGTTTCAGGTTCACCATTTGTTAGATTCTGGAACCAGGTTTTGTTAGGACTCATATGGAAAGAACACTCTGAGTCTAGAACCCACTCATTAGCCATTTCAGAACTAGACACAGTGAGGGCTTTTATTACTTCAATGCTATTACTAGAGGATGTTATGTTGCTCTCAGTACTGTTCTGTTTTTGCTTCTTAATCCAATCATAACAATTCTTTTTGATGTGACCAAGTTTGTTACAGTGGAAGCACTTCTAGTCTCTGATTTAGATTTATTATTATTGTAGGCTTTCCCTTTCTTCTTATTCTTTGGCCCTAAGTTTTGTTGGACAACCTTTCCAGTATCTTTACCAAAGTGACAAGTTTCTTGTTTTCCTTTTACAAAAAGATTACTCCCATTTCTTTTTTGTATCTTTAACTCAAGTTCTCTGGATTTTAGACCAGCTATTCTCAGATCAACACCAGGGACTGTTCCAGTATACTGCAATGCATTTTTCACTACTAAGTATTCATCAGGTAACGAATTTAATAAAATCATTATAAGACTCGAATCCCCTAATTCCTTATCAGTTCCTTTTAGCACTAGTGTCATTTTAAGAAATTCATCTAGGTTTTCTTCTAATGACTTAGAGACATCCATTTTGTAAGAAAACAGAGCACCTTTCAAGAATGCTAAATTAGGAGCAGATCTTAATGCATACAGAGTTTCAAGTTTACCCCAGAGCTCGAGCGGTGTGTCCAAGCCATCCACCTTCCATAGTACATTATCTGATAAATTCATGATTATCAGATTGTATGCTTCTTTGTCTATCTCCGCTTTCTTTTTCACCTTTTCCTGGACCACTTGGTTGCATCTTTTTCCAATGCTATTCCCACCTTATTATGGGATAATAGGGCCTTCATCTTCTTCTTCCATGTATTAAAATTCATTTTCCCATTGTACTGGGATATCTCTACACCCGTGGTAGTGTTCATCATTCTGTCCAGTAACATACCCTACTATTATATTCCTTGATCTTGACTAGTTTTCTTGGTTTAACCTTTTGAGACAGGAAACGACCTCTAGTGTTCAAGATTCTTGCCTAAGGATTCAAGATTTATGACCCCATAGATCAAGAAATTCCCTAAATCGAAAATCCCCAATTTTGACAAAACCCTAATTTTGCAACTTTGCCCAATTGACTCGATTTCAAGAATTTCTAAACCCTAGAGTGAAGGCTCTGATACCACTGTTGTAAATCAATCCTAATTACTCAAACCACCAAATCAATCTCAGATCAAATCAAACACAAGAACAAGAAATCACACAACACACAATCTACTGTGATTCGCTTGTTCAATATAGAACAAGTTACATCCACGTTGAGCTCCAGAATATGGAGCTCGTTGCACTAGGATTAATCACTTTAAAGATTAAAGATTACAGACAAATCTCCTTCACTGTCAACAACACATTCACACACTCATTCACTTCTCTTTATCCCGCAAATCTCAACAACCACTAGAGTAATCTATACCTTTTAAGGAACACCCAACCCTAAAAAATAAGACTCCAGCAAGATTTACACAGAAAAGAACCAGAATGAAATCTAAACCCTTACCCAGGTTACAAACGCATTTACAGAGAAAAAGGAGAAAAACCTAATACATGAACTGTAGCCAAATGAGTGAAAAGGTTCCCTTTTATATCGTTGACTTGTGATTTAACTGGAGCCATCTCTTTAATTTGATGGCTGTGATTTAACTTGGACTAATAGACAAAAACAGCAGCGTCTTTGCTTGATGTAAACGACGTCACAGGCTTCACTTATTTAACACAGTTTAATGTGTTTCATATTTTCCACCACCGCCAACCTTGTTCATTTCTAAAGATTCGTGATGTGTCCCAATAAAGGAAAATTGGTACAAGGAAACATATAGAAAAGTCATCAGGTTTCAGCCATCAACTTTGTTTTTTATTCAAAATTTCAAGGTAGCTAGGCTATATTCTTTCCTCAATGGTCTAACCATGTGCGCCCTGATACTTTCATAGGACCCATCATTGACTTAGGTCAGACCTCACCAATTCAGCACCATCTTGATCCTTCCTCCCAACTATTGCTTTTCACGCAGATAATAAAATAAATACATAAGAATGTTTGAAAATGATTTTGCAGATTCACATATCTCAAAAGGGTGTATAAAATTCATGAATTAATTACAATACTAATGAGTAATGACATTTTGTCTTCTTCTCAACAGGTGCTCAACGATGAGAGCTTTGCGATTCTAGTCCTAATGGCACTCTTCACCACCTTCATTACAACACCAACAGTAATGGCCATCTACAAACCTGCGCGCCGCACCTCCGCTCTTACTCACCGCAAATTACGTGATTTATCCAACGCCAGTGACTCAAACTCTAAGGACGAGCTCAGAGTCCTGGCTTGCTTTCACGGCCCCGGAAATGTATCCTCGCTCATTAGCCTTGTTGAGGCAACCAGAAGCACCAAGAAACAGCTTAAACTCTTCATCATGCACCTTGTTGAGCTCACTGAACGCTCTTCTTCAATCATCATGGTCCAACGAGCCCGGAAGAATGGCTTTCCGTTCATCAATCGTTTCCGCCGCGGCGAGTGGCATGACAGAGTTGCCGGGGCGTTTCAGGCCTACGGTCAACTGGGCCGAGTTTCTGTTAGGCCCACAACAGCCATCTCCCCTTTGGCCACAATGCATGAAGATATCTGCCACGTGGCCGAGGATAAGAGGGTGACAATGATTATATTGCCTTTCCATAAACAATGGAGAGGAGAAGGTGACGAGTCAATGGAGAATTTGGGCCACGGTTGGCGAGGAGTTAATCAAAGGGTGCTAAAGCACGCTCCTTGTTCCGTGGGATTGCTTGTGGACCGTGGATTCAGTAGTGGGTCCCAAACTCCGGGGCATAATTCTACAGTCGGTCAAAAGATTTGCATCATATTTTTTGGTGGGCCCGATGATCGTGAGGCTCTAGAGTTAGGTGGCATGATGGCTGAACACTCGGCAGTTAAAGTGACCGTTGTTAGGTTCATTGAGAAAGATGGTTTGCAAAGTGACGGCGTCGTATTAAGGCGCGCGCCAACCAGGTGTAGCGAACAGAATTACAGCTTCTCTACCGCCAAAATGAACTGAGAAAAAGAAAAGGCAAGCTCCCTCCTCTAAAATATTTTCACCGTAACTATACAAAAGGATAAATTTTAGACATCTCTCCTATTTATTTAAATGAATAGTCTTAAAGTTTACTCTAAATAATCAAGTTTCATGCCTGTTCGGGGTCTTACTATGTATTCTTACTTTTGTTTTGGAACAAATGCAGGAGCTAGATGAAATTGCTGTGGGTGAATTTATGAGTAAGTGGGATGGGGTGGCAGATTGCGTTGACAAGGTGACTAGTAACATTGTTGAGGGAGTATTAACAATAGGACGGAGCGGTGAATTCGATCTTATAGTTGTTGGGAAAGGCAGATTTCCATCGAGTATGGTGGCGAAACTAGCGGACCGCCAAGCGGAGCTTGCGGAGTTGGGGCCTATTGGAGACATTTTGGCGTCATCAGGGCAAGGCGTTTTTTCTTCTGTGCTTGTGGTTCAACAGCATGATAAGGCACATGCTGAAGAGATGCCGGTGACAAAGATAGGTCACTCTGACTATGTGAAATTCAAGGGTGATGAGTTGTCAGGTGCAGCAGAGATTTCAAAGGCTGTGTGATTGGTTATTACTGGTACATGTAAATTGTGTGATTGGTTATTACTGGTACATGTAAATTGTATATGTGTGTATTTGTACCAGTGTATGTTTCCGAAATTTCAGAGTGGTGGACCGTTGTATCTCCAGAAGAAAATATAATAAGAAGTTGAATAGATCATGTATATTGGACCTTCAAGAGGCCATTTTTATCAGGTAGTGGATTATAAAATGATTCAGTTTTATTATGTGGATATAGGGTCAATGAATCAAAGGGGGGGGGGGAAAAAAAAAGGGCCAGACCAACTAATTCAATGCTCATATGCTCATAAACAAATGTCACGAAATGCAAATCAATTAAAGAAATGTTTAAGGAAATAAATCACTAATGCTAAGTTTACAACTCAATCTCACAACCCTCGACATAACAGTTCGTAATTGATTAGTTTGCAATTGTACAGGCAAGCGCTTGCTTACTATAGGTCCTGCATGTATAATTGCGAACTGACCAATTACGAGCTATCACGTCAATGATTGTGAGATTGAGTTGTGAATCTAGTATTACTCGTAACAAATTTACATAATCACATATTTCATACTCATTGTTTCATCTGCTTTTTCATAAAAGACCAAAAACCCCCTTAAAAACATTAAATATATAATTGATGATAATATTGTAACCTAGAAAAATCATAGGATTAAAGATAAAATAAAGTGGCATGACAAAATAAAACAAGGGTCTGATTAAGGACTGTATAAAATGTGGACTAAGATTGGGCTAGTAGTGTTGGTTTATCGCCCATGCCCCAAAACAAAATGAAAGTGGGACAAGATTTGTTTTTTCATGAGACGGTGATGCAAAACAAAATATGAATGTGGCCAATCCCTGCTGTCTCATCATGCAAGTTTCAACTTCCAAATTTAAGTGGCAATATAAATGAAGTGCCATTGCATAAGCCATAAAGTGATGCATTCCTTTCCTTGTTTCAAGTAGGGTTTGTTTTTGTACAGGAGTGTTCAGACTAGCTTACACATATCTCAACTAATCTCTCAGGACCCTAGAATTATTGGCAGGAAAAAAACTCCAATGGTCACCTCTATTAGTAACCGTGGAGACTCAAACTCGAAAAACCATGTTAGATTCTCTTATTATTATTTTATCTTTAAGGGGACTCGAACTTAAGAGACCATATTAGATCCTCCTCTTGGGAAATCATGTTAAATCATTTTTTTATCTTTTATCATCAAAAAAAGAAAATCAAGATCTTCTTTTATTCTTTTACCACTTGACCACCTAACTGTGATTGTTTGTTTCAAGTTTGTTGACAGAACAAATTGGGATTTAAAAAAGTAGGATATATATATATTAAACGGATAATCAAGAAATTTAGCCTAAAAAATAGACATGCATATAAAAAAGTGAAATACGCATCAACAAAAAGATTGAAATCCCCCTAAACTTAGGGGAGCATATATTCGAGAAAACATATCTATAAAGAGGCATTTAATGCTGAATCAAATAACAAAGCTGCAATTATTCTATCATCATGATTAAGACAAATCATTATCGAATATTTAATTTCCACAATCTCAGTTTTAAAAGTGCCTTTTCATTTATCGATATCGCATGCAAGGAATCTATAAACATGATTAGATTTATCTGTAAAAGCCACCTTATCATGAAGAAGCATATACTAAGTGGTTGGAGGCTTTCCGAATTTCTAAAATTGTTTTTATAAATTCTTTTTGACTAACATCATATCAAACTGATTCAGTCCATTAAAAATACTGTCCATTAATATAAGGACAGGTCATATATAAATTAAACAAATAGTTGCATAGTTTTGGGAGTCACTGTAGAATCATATGATCCTAGGCATCAATTTTCTGTTTGTTATTGGACATTTGAATATATATTTGATACCTTGCGTGAATCTACTTGCCGCTTCTTCTATGGTGGCAATTAAAGTTGCCAAATTTTTAAATTTATATAAGATTTGAGTAAAAATAATTAATTCATGTGTACATATGTAACTGGTGGAGCGAGCACTAACCCAGTGCCCTCATTGAAATTTTAAAAATCCACAAGGTTTTATAAATTTGCAATTATACCCTAATCAAATTCTATAATTTCTAAATGTTAATCTAATATTCTAACACAAAATAAGATAAATGGAATACCTAGGTTATAAATAAATAATGCTCATATTATACAAATATAATTAAATACGTTATATGTAAAATAAAATAAAATTATAAAAATCATTTTTTTTTTAAATGACATCGCAATTGTAGTATATATGAGTATTTAAGTTATTTTAGGATATCAAATTAAAATAACCGTGTTTGACCGTTAAGTCATGAGTGTCTTTTAATTATGAATTTAAAAAAAAAAAAGTGTTCTTTAATAGTCAATTTCTTAAAATAGTGTCTTCTAATTATACTTTTTTTTTTTTTTTTTAAAGTATGGATAATAATATCCCTTTAGTAAATCAGCATCTTATTTACATACTAAAGTGTATTTGGTTCTAGAAATACTAAATTATTGAGAATGTTATATTAATGGGAAGATAAGTTACTTGAAAATTATTGAAAATGTTATATTAAATGTGTTTGGTTAGATTTAATAAATTAGTAAGTATGTTATATAGATTACTAAATTATTCTTCTTTTTAAATAGTAATAATATTATTATTATTTGGATTATTTTTTTAACCCTTTACATTTTAAGATTTTGTTAAAACACACTAACCACAATAAAAAAGTTTAAATTTTAACAAAAACACTCCTATCCACCACCCAAGCCTTGCATATAATATGTTTCCCGTCCATTATCAGTTAGCCCATTACTAAACAAACGAAATTGATAATGGAAAACATATCATATGCAGGGGTTGATAATGGGCAGATTTGCTGCATATTATATTAATAAGGATTATTTTAACGAAATTGATAATGGGAAACATGTAAATATATGGAGCCCTCCACTTTAGCTGCATCGATGTGCTTCCCCTCCATTATGAGTTAAAATAGTTAAAATTATCCTTATCAATTAGCTGCCCATTATCTTGTCATTATAATATGTTTCCCATTATGAATTTCGTTTGTCTTTGGCAGGGAAGTTGAAGAGCTAGGGGTTCTTCCCGTTTAGGTGTAATTCTTTTTTCATTATAAAATTACTTTTTATATATATAAAAAAAAATCCATATATAAAGTATGTTATTGTCTAATTTGACCGATTCTAGGGGTCCTTTATTTCAAAATCTGTCGGTAATTCAAGAAGGGCGATTATCCGACATCTTGCTTGAGATTTCATTTCACCTCACACCCCAAAGATATGAACGATTAGTTGACCTCCCTCCACATTTGAAGAATTATCTATATCTCCACTCATTGGCCTTGATTAATAAATTTCTTCCTTATGGTTTATTTGATTTAATCCTATGAGATTGATTAATATCAAATCCATCCTCTTTATTCCAAAAGTATCAAAAACAGCCCTATCCTTAGAGATATGTTAGAGTTCCATTCAATTTTAAAATTAAAAGTCTATTTTATTTCTCCTATGTTATTGTTTCTATAATACAATAAAATGGTAGAATAACTTCCACATCATTTGTTATTTATTTTAATTATTTTTGAAGGAAAATATTTAACTTTACCATAGTTCATTTTTTTAATTTAATTTATTTTTATTTTTAGTTAAATGCTGTTTAAATGTGTTATACAAATGTGCAACTTTCCTTAGGAAAATACAATTATAAGTTAAAGGTTGGTTTTATGGATTTGGATATATATTGAGTGAAGGATTTAAGAAATTTGTTAAGTGATAGAAGGGTAAAATAGACTTTTAATTTAATATTGGATGAAGCCATAACAAATCATTGATAACAAGGGTGTTTTTAATACTTTTAAAACAAAGTGGATGAGCAATGTGCATGAATCTTCTAGGGGGTAAATGGAGACCAGACAAAAGATATCGGATATCCAATCAATTAAGGCCATTGAGGATAGGTATTGGTCCTATCAGGCAATTCTGAAAATGTGAAGGGAAGTAATTTTTCACACCTTTGGGACATGACCCGGATGAATAATTTGATCGATCTTTGTTGACCTTTCGCAATGAAAGGTTTCATCCGAGTTAAATTGATATTTTGTTGCATGGATGAATAATTTCATTTCATGATGATCAAAATAGTGTGGATTATATTATCAGAACTCTTTTTTTTTTTTTTTTTGGTAGAAAAGGCTACCCAGAGATGGATGATATCTTTGAATACATTTATTATTACTACAAAGTTATCAGCCACTATTTAAATTTTTAATTATAAAAATTTAATTGAAAAAATAAATGTTGTTTTAGTCGTTTTACAAAAATTACATATATAATCTATTAAAAACAAAACCATTTAAAAAAATAAATTTAATCCAAAACATTTTAACTAGGCATGGGTAATTCTTTCCCAAATAAAGACTAAAATAAATTCAATCATGTTCTGCTTATAATTGAGTCATGCAACTGGATAAAAATTATATAAAATTTATGTAAAATGATTATTCTATCATTTGTTTTTTTATTTGATTATATGACTCAATTGTAAGTATAATATTAATTAAATAAATTTGGGTGCTTTGTGAGGCATGATTATTTCAGAATTATTTGAAGTTGAATCAAATAAGTCAGGAGTAATACTACACATACATCATTTTCATACAACATTTCCCATACAACATTATGTGGTAAGATATGATTGGCTAATTTAAAGTTAAAGTTAAACTTTCACTCAATCACATCTTACCAGATAATGTTATATAACAAATATTGTATGAGAATGATATATGTATAGTATTATTTATAAGTCAGATAGTGGCCACAAAAGACAAAAAAAAAAGAGACCACTACCGTAATGGCAATCGGCAACACCACTAACCTCCGCTCTATAAAACCCTGCTTCTAGCTTATATCAAAATCCAAACAACCAGCTGCTTACGAATACAAATATTCACTTGAATATTTGATTCAACATTAACAAATAATTCAACCATGGCGCCCCTCAACGTAACCACCATCAGAACCTCATCAGATGGCGCCTGGCAAGGCGATAATCCTCTCAACTACGCATTCCCTTTACTTATTATTCAAACTATCTTAGTCCTTCTCATCAGCCGCTTCCTCGCTTTCCTCATTAAACCCCTGCGTCAACCCAAAGTCATTGCTGA